CTTTTTAAATGATGATTTTTTTTGTCAACTTGGTAAACTGTAATAAAATGAAACATAGAATGAAATGAAACTGCAGAAAAAAATCTATATTTCAGAATATAGCACTTGTAATTAAATATGGGGATGGGACGGTAGTTGGGGTGTGGCATTATTTTTGTAGCGAAAATGTTGTTTGGGAGCAGTGTTTCTTCCAGACTTTTTTCTCCGGGGGGGGGGGGGCACTTGAAATTTTCGGGGCAGGGGGGGTGGTAGACTTACTTCGGGGGGCGGACACTGTTAAAAGTATAGATTTTCTATATAAATTTCATTTCGTTCGGGGTGCGGTAGACTTGCTTGGGGGGGGGTGTGACCCCCCCACCCCCCGAAGAGATGCCTGGAATAAACTCTGGGAGGGGGGGGGAGTAAAAACATATATTAAAACAGCGTGACATCTTTTATAGACAACACCATATCACAAACTTTTTTTTCTCATTTTACGTCAACAAAACCAAGGGTGTTAATGAATGAATTAAGGGCAGTAATCATCGCTAACAGCAATGATTCAAGTTTGAAGTTATTGTCTTCAGTCTCATCCAAGTCTTCTAGTATTACAAATTCTCTCGCGAAACAGAGTCGGCCCAATTAACGGAAATGTTACACTATTTGCTTACCCAGCCATGCGTGAAACGAGAACCACCGTGACGGGGGTCACAAGGGGAGGGTTCAATGTGTAACCCAAAGAGCGGAAGTCATGTCGACACGGCCATATGCGCACTCTGCAAGTGCGCATGGGCGAGCAATAACCAAGGAGATCGGATAGGGAGATCTCATTTTGGTGGTTTGGTGATGGGTGATAATGAACATGCAGGTTGATGAATGCCTGCAGGGGTCTACAGGGGTCGGAGTTAGCAGGACACAGGGGTGTGTGATTAATAAATGTGATAACGTGTGAGGAAGTGACGTAGATTAAACATGGTGGACGGAAGTCAAAGGTTGACGTCGCATACACAACATCAAGTTTCAACCAATAAACTGAATTAAAGTTTTCGAATCTCACAAGAGTTGGGTTTTGCTAGTTAAATGTGTCATTAAATGCATTCACTGCCTGTTAATTTCTGTCTACGTTACTTGTGGTTTTCTCTCTTCATTACGTGTGATTTTCTGATTTCATTTGTCATATTACTTTCTGACAAATATATGTATCAATATTTTGTTGATAAGTATTTTGTTCAATAAAATACAGAATTGCTGCTTATCATTTATTTGTAAAAACGTGTTGTTAATTATATATTCATTATGGACATAGTAATTGTCTTTTGATAGTTTCACCATTTCAGAAATCTGCAAAATTTTATCCAAATCGTCTTTAAAAAAAATCTTTTTATGGTTATTGATTAGTTCGCACTGTAACTTATTATTTTAATTTTAATATTAAAAGGGTAACAATCGCATTTCAATATAGTGTGTACATGGTTTCTTTCATATATTTTGGGGGTGGGGTGTACTAAGTGCTAGACATTTTTCGTTGGGTTGGGGACACTGGTGCCCCCCCCCCACCCCTATCCCCACCTTTTAGAGCTACCTAAAGAAACTCGCATGCCCACACTCGTATTAAGACTGTATTATGTATACATGATATTTTATAATGCCCCCTACTCAATGGCCGAGCACTAAACTAAACGGCTGTGGCGTTTCACCAGCTGGCTGGGTCCCAATTTGTAACTGACTTTGTGTCATGTTTTCGTGAGGACAGTTTTTGTCGAGTCGACTCTCGAGTATTTTCTATACTGTTTTTAAAGTGCTATTTAAATAAATGGGTTAAAGTCCCAGAAATCAAGTCCGCTATTACAAATGTACCAGTCCAAACATTGATTACACTTCCGTGTTTGTGTTCCATCAGTTAGTTACCAGCCAGGCTTGTTGGTGAGGCGGGCCGCGCAGTCGTAGGGTACCATACACCACGTGACACCAGTCTTACAAAACAATCAATTATCACGTGACAACAAGGCAATCACATCGCGGTCCACCCCCTCTTCATCCCCCACCCCCTCCCAACTCAGGGCCGCTAACTTTAGGCGTGTCCTGATTAGCTGGCTAATGGTAAGTCCGGTAACTCGCCCCGTCTCATCTATTGTCCAGACCGTGATGGTCATCTCATCGGCTTGCGTGGACACAGAGGGGGAGATGGATGTCCGCCCCCTCGGGCTAGACACGGGGGACGGGGGGACGGGGACGTTAGACAAGGCGTTAAGGGACTGTGGACAGGTGACGGGAATCGAATTAACGCCGGCCCAGGATCTAAACCATCTGTGATGCGGGCGGGATGTACAGCCCGGGGGTGGGGGCGTAACGGAAAAGTGTACTGCGTGTAAAACCAGACATCGCACAATGGTTGCTGTGTCTTGGTGATACTACTTGAAAACAGTTTTTGCTGTAAACTAATTGTAAAATAGTTCAAAGAATAAATGAAATTTCGTTGCGATATTAGTTCTAATTTCTCCTTCAATGTTGTAAACACAAACAGTTCAAAGGAAATATATAAAAGAAATATTTATTTCTAGCCACATATTTAATTAAGAGCATCAAACGAATTGATTATTTATAATGTTATTTGCAGAGAAAAAGTATAGTAGCTAAACGCCTATTTAAAAGAAAAGTCTTTCTTTTTTTTATAAATCTGAATACATTTTTGTATTGCTTATTTTTTAAATGAAACTATTATGCCTGTGTTATGGTTATTCACGATTCTATATAAAACTACGAAAGTTGAGGTAAGCTAACAGCACGAAAAAAATTCACAACAGTAGGTTCCCTTAGATCCAACATGCCTGCAGGGCGCGGCATAATGTGTCTTTCTTATGCTTGACATGGTATCCCACCAGGGGAGATAATACAAGGTCTGATTGGAACAAACAGCAAACAAGGTTACCTTCCTTTTACATACTTCACAAATAATGACTTAGGAGCACATCGTTGCTCTGTGTTTCTAAACTTTTGTCAACTTGACTTCTTTGGAAAAAAAATTGGCGCTTCACCAGCCTACATAATCCAACAAAATATATGTGTAGCTACATTCCTATACTTCTTATTTTTACCATACGATATGTTTTAATAAGGGTATGAGCAGTAAGTATTGAAACAATTTTTGATAAGGGAATGAAAATCTATAATGTTGTTTTAAATTGCCTCACAAGTACGTATGTTAAATTTTTAACACAACTATTATGTATTAACTTACATGATGCAACATCTTTCCGTTTGTGCCCAGGACACACAAGTCAGATGAAGTAGAGTTCATCTGTTTCAGTGACCTCGGTATATGTAATGATAGTGTGGTTAGAACTATGCCCAGTCACCTTACTTTCTCTAACGTGAATCAGATACCCAGAGAACATGGATGGACTCAATGACGTCCTACACACTGGAACCCGGGGTTCAAACTCGAAACTTCGGTAAGCGGTCGTAAGCCTTTATAGCACATGGGGCGGGGGAGGGGTACCCTGTCAAGATGTTGCTTGTCCTGAACAGAGTTTCTTCCAGGCATCTATTCGGGGGTGGTCTACCCCTACGAAGGGGGCCTACCCCCCCCCAACGAAATGGAATTCATATAGAAAATATATACTTTTAATAGTGATCGCCCCCTTGGAGAAAAAAAGTCTGGAAGAAACACTTGTCCTGAACTGTACTGCTCACTTCACAATATAAGAAAGAGGTTACACGTACCACACGGAGTACGGACACAAAGACAATAATCACATTTTGTTACAGTCTAGAAGGGTTAATTTAATTTGTGTTTACACTAATCCCCTACGGAGTAGCAGAATAGTAGAGCATTCGACTGCTAATCTAAAGGTCTTAAGTTCGAATCAGGGTTCAAGAAAGTAAAACGTCCATGAGTCCACCCACATTAGGGAAAGTAAAGGGGTTGGGTATAGTGCTGCCCACATTATCTCTCCATATGCCGAGGTCACAGAAACAGATGGACTCTACTTTATCTGCTCCATGTATCTTGGGCACACACGGAAAAAAGATTATATATATATATATATATATATATATATATATATATATATATATATATATATATATATATATATATATATATATATATATATATATATATACCAGTCTATCAGACTATTCTGCGATCGTTATATAGTATAAATCGACCGAGAAGCATCTCTAAAATGTCGGCTCCAAAGCAGCACAACTACACTCCCACCTGCGGTCAAGTTCCTTCGTCTCGACGTCCCCCTCACGTTTTTACAAACCCACATGCCCACTAAGTGATACATTACGTTATTAGTTGTACCCCTGAATAATAATAAAAAAATAGTTGACTATTCTAACTAAAGCAGTTATTTTTTATTCACTAAGATGTAAATAAATAGGCATACAGCGTTCTGAATAAGCTGTTTACTTTAGTATATCATGACAAAAGCGTATTGCAAATGGCTGCTCCCTATCCTAAACATCCACCTCCCACACACGCTATTTCGGTCTTAACGCTCTTACGCCATCTAGGCCTATAGCCCTGACTCCTTAACTTTCAACCCGGACTTATACAATACTATACAGTGCACAAAATAAAATGAAAAAAAAAATCGAATGAATAAGATGTCTTTTTAAATGTGTAGATACACAAATTATTTGAATAATGATGCCTGATATATGAAGTAATTACAAAAAACACTCAGTTTAATTTTAAATGGGGGAGGGGGGTATAACATTGTTAACATATAGGTTTTACCAATAGTTAAAATTTTCATCAGGGGGGATTTTAACTTTTTTTTGAAAAATAACTATCTTCCTAGAAATACCGAAGGTAACTACCTCTCTGTCAAAATTCCTAGAAGTATCATCTAGGGTTAACTATAATTTTTTTAAAACTCTCTATCTTCCTAGAAATATCTCCTAGGGTTAACTATAATTTATAAAAAAAAAACTCGCTATTTTCCTAGAAATATCACTAAGCTGTAAGACGTTAAATGCCGCTGTTTATGGTTTTATTCCTAGCTCTTTGTTAACACAGCGTGACCGATCTGTCACTTGAGACAACTGTGTCAGTCGGGATGTGCTGTCTGATTATCACACAGGTAAAACTAGAACTCGTTTTCTTGAAAAATTTCAGCTGTAAACAGCACGCTGTTTACTGTTAAAATAGGTCACATTCAGTTCTATTATGTGCCGTGGTTAATGATAAAAGCTTTTTGACAACGAATAATTCGGTTTCCTGTCAGGCGCATTCACATTTTCTAAAAGAAAATATTGACATCTGTGAACGACGTCGATATGGCGAGACGAGTGCAGCATATAGATGACACGATACACAACTGTGGAAGCCTATTGTTTCTTCATTTTGTCAGACAAAGGCTAAATGAAGATGCTCCTGTGCTTATAGACAGTTTATTGACACTAAGGTAAATTTAACGTTTGTGTACATCCGTTTCTAAGTGGAATCTCTTTGTCTTGCTAGATAAAATTTAATTAGATAACTAAGAAAATCTTCCAATTTTCTTTTAAAAAGGCTTGTTGTAGTTTGCTAATTTTGAAAACATCCGTTTGATTTATTAATGTTGTGTTTTTTAATTCTTTGTCTTTTTCTATGTTTAATTTTAAAAAGCAAGTTCAGTAACATAGAGTTAATGAATGAAATAATGTATTGTGACGTATAATACGTTGTGGATTTTTCAGGCAAATAGAGCTTACTGTTGATCCTGATGTGATTGATCTGAGCAACGCCCTAAACGAAGTGGCTAAAGAGTATCAAGCATCAGATCAAAGACTGTTGACAAAAGCTGAAGCTAATAAGGTCTGGAACTGAGACTAAAACTTTTGCAAAAGAAGTCATATATTTAGACGAAGTAAAGTGAGGAATGTATGATATTGTTTACATTTTAAGACTAAATTGTGCATGTACTTCCCCACAGCCAAATTTGGAGTTGAGCGAAAATGATTTCATAGAAATTGTACGGATGATGATGGGATCTTTTGATAGCCAGTACAAAATAGAGACAATAGTCGTCATCTTCTTCTACTTCTACGACTTCATGTTGAGAATGTCTTGTAAAGGGACGCCCAGAATGGACGAGATCCTACAGTGGTGCCAGCAAGCTTTTACCTATCACCTGGATCCTAAGGTGGACGCTGTTGGAGGATGGGTAGGGACTTACCAGTGTTTTTTTTATTGTGAACTTCATTTTATTTGTTTCATACCACTAATACTTATGTGATGCAAAAAAATTAAGTTTTAAAAAGTACTTTATTACATTTTGTTTTCAGAAAACAATCCTAGAGACCTCAAAGCCTGGTCTGTTTTCATCATTTTCACAGTGGTTTACATTTAGAACAAAAAGAAAATATTGAGGCAACAATGCTGTAAATTGTACTGCTTTTGGACTTTCTTAAAAAAATAAACTTTTAAAAACTTAGCAAGTATTAATTACGTTTATAGGCATATATTTATTAATTAAATTTTATACAAAGTTACGTTTTTTCTGTGAGCATATTTACATTTAGGAAATATAATATCAAAATTTGTTTTTAAACAATTATGTTGTGTAAAATTCCTTTTTTTCTCTAATATTCATAACATTATAATACACAATTACACTTTGTATCTATTAAAATAATAATTCTATAAGCTTATTTTAGATGTTTAATAAACATATACAATATATTTGAATATTTGTTGTTGTTTTTTTTTAGTTCGACTTTTCTTCTTCTTCGTTCTTAATTTTAGTGTTGGAAGGAATCCCCTCCAACACAAACGTGTCAACTGGTTATGCGCCATTAAGGCCAATGACTCCGATTTCAGCCTGCTTTTCTTCTTGGATTTGCTTCCATAGCCTTTTTTCAACCAAGAACAAACTGCACGGCAGCAGTTGTTTGATTTTGGAGTTGTCTAACGAGCCTCATCTGCCCAAGGGTTGTAGCTTGAGACTTTTCAGTTTAGCAACCATGAGCTTTACCGACTCGACCACGCCGACCCCAGTTCAACTTGAATCCTCGTTACTTTTAATGTTTTAATTTATTTACATAATATAATGTACAAAGTTTAAATTTGTATATATTGTATCTCTCTCAAAGTTATTCCAGCAATTTACAAAACCACACGCCCTGTTAGATGGCGGCAAGTATACACATGCTTGATGTTTTTTTTTTCTAATTAAACGCTAATTCTTTCAAATTGTTTAGCCCGACACTACTACATAGCGAAGTTTCAGATCGTTTGATGAAGCCAAGTCAAAAATAACAGTTTATTGAGAAAAAAATGTGCTGTTTTAATAAAAATCTAAATGGATTAGAGATGAAAAGGCTGACGAAAACATAGTTTAGTCATCTGTCAGAAAATGGCACTTGGCGACGAAGACAACGTAAAATAAAAGGGGTGGGGACCAGTGGCGTAGCGAGGTCGGGTGTCACCCGGTGCGGCACTTAATGGTGTCACCCCCCAGAGGCGTAGCGACCCTTCCCGGGTACAAACTTTCAAGTTTTCGATTTGCACCCCCCCCCCCTCAAACTTCCGATTTGCACCCCCACCCCCCTCAAGTTTTCGATTTGCACCCCCCCCTCAAGTTTTTCTCTATATATTTTGCTATTTTTTGCCTTGGTGTCACCCCCCTAAATGGTGTCACTCGGTGCGGTCCGCACCCCCCGCCCCCCCTCGCTACGCCCCTGGTGGGGACAAAGATTGGTTGATTGTTAAAAAAATAAATCCAGCTTGAGATGAAATAATCAAAATCTAGAAGTAGATGGGCTGTGGTGACACCAGTTTAAAAGTTGCAAAAGTACTAAGGAAATGAATTTAGATTGTTTGTGGAAAAGTTAATGGTACTTGAAATTTTACACGCAACACAACCACATGTTTACAGTTAAAATTCCCCACGTACTCGTGACCGTTAATCGTTCCCCCCTCCCCATGCCGAACTGCCGCCCGTGTCCAAACCGCTGGGTAGGAAGCAAAAATCCTAACGGCTGGAAACATGGGGGAGAAAAATGCTCGTTTTTTCGTCATGTTCCGCTGCCTGAAAAACAAGCATTGTTTCTGTTGTTAGGAACCATATACGAGAGAGAGAGAGAGAGAGAGAGAGGGAGAGAGAGAGAGAGAGAGAGATGTAGCAATAACGGCCAAATGATGTTATTTACATTAATACATTATATAAATAAATTGTAAAAACACCTATAAACAAAATCAAAGCCAAAATAAAAATCTTTCTGCGGTGACTAGAAAACTTTTGTTCACGGAACATCGAACATACACGATGGTAGCTTGGTAGTCCATTAGGACAAAATAAAAGACAGGACTGTCAATACAGCTCTTGCTATCACTCTAGCATCAAGCTACTTGACCACCATCGTGTTAATAGACTGTGTCTAGAATATAAATTAAACGAAAGAAAGCATATCCAGGAAATGTGAGAACTGAATCGCTTTCAATAATTGTATACGCGCGATATAAGGGCTACAAATTACTGGCTTGCAAGCAGTTAAGACACGTGTTTAATTCAGGGCTTGAAGTCATAAGTCATATTTTGACCTAGACGATGCATTGTGGAAGATTCTGAAGACGTCGACACAGGCACCAAGTATTCATATCGCCCATTAGTATTGTTATTCTGTCGTAGAGTAATCTTTAAAAATACTTTCGTTTGTAAATTATCTATTATTATAAATATCTCATTTTTATTATATATTGATCAACACAACTCTCTTGTAAATCTTCATCATCTTCACCTGTTTGTGCCCAAGCCACATTGGAAAGATGATGTAGAGTTCATTGTTTCAGTAATCTCGGCAAATAAGGAAAAAATGTAGTCAGTACTATGTCCAGTACTATGCCCACTCGCCTCTGTTTCCCTCACGTGAGTTAGGTACGCATCAGAGCTGAGTTAACTCAGGGACGTTAAATTAAACACTTGTAAATATAAATCAATTTGTTTTATTATGAAGTCAATATTTTAATTACAATACAAATGAATGTTTGTATTTAAAGCAATTGAATTTTAATTGTGCTAATAATTTTATTTAGTTAATTTTTAAACTTAATTATAAAATAATATATCAAATACTTGACAAAAAGTATTGCTGTTAATGACCAATGTTTCTTCACACATTTTAATTACAGCTGTGTGAAATTGGATTATTTATAGTTTCCAAAAATATAGGGGTGGTGAAAGATCGAACCCTTACTGTCAACCGGTAATTAGCTCATAGCATCACGGTAACACAGTTGAAAATATAAAGAAAATATTTGTATAAAAATAGTTATCTATATATCTATATACTACTAAAATTCAAGTTTGTTTACATGTTTGAATATTTATTTGTTTTTTTTTTGTTTGTCCGTTTGGTTACAGGAGAGAATCTGCACTATGTGTAGAGCTGTAAAATAGTATTTTCTTTTTTTAACAAACTGTTAATCACAAATTTATTTAAATACGTTAATTAATGTATTGATTTATACCTTAGTAGATTAGCCACATTAGTTATAAAAGTTCAGAACAATGACTTTACTTATAGTGACGTCACATGATTTATTTACCTTTTACAACAATAATGGCGGATTCCATCGAAGATTTTGTTGACCAGTCAAACGTTTAGCGCATTATAAAGCTAATTTTCTGTCGGCTATAGCTTGTACGATACGCCCGTTTGCTATTTTTATTACGTTTCAACAATATTGTCAATAACATAAATTTTCAACAGTCCTTTTCATTTAAGAATACAATAAGTTTCTCTAGATCTAGAATCTAAAGATTAGCTGTAGAAGGAAGGTAAAGATATAGATCTAGAATCTAGGTCAAACTAAAATTAATTAGTTAAAAGTAGGCCTATAGATCATTTTAAAATCACAATAAATTATTGAGTTTCTTTATTAAACTATTTTAGTCATTAAATATTTAATATAAATCTTTGGTTTTTATCTTCAAGGATCATCTAAATTCTAATTCAAGAATACAAGTGATTTATCTATCTCGGTTCTAGACCTAGCTACGGAAAACTCGACTTAACCAAACCAGTCGTAGAATATATATAACTCGATCTAGACAAAGATAATAATGAGTTTCTAAACTAAACTAATCCAGACTTTAATTATTTTATATAAATCTTTGTTTATTTAGATATGGAATGGGCTAATTTGTGACAAAATTTAATTTGAAATAGATCTAGATCTAATATTGGGGCCTATTCGCGTAAATCAAGATTCTTACGCAGAATAAAAGTAATATATATCAGAAAAAACATCACTTATTCCACGAGCCTAGATAGCTAAGATATTAGCGTTTTAGGTTACCATACGTGTTGCACGGGTTCGAGACACATTAACGTTTTTTTTTTTTTTTTGGCGTGAATGATAAAGTTGCATATTGGAACTTGGCGGGACACTGGGCAGGGGAAGTAGAGTTGATCTGTTTTTATGACCTCAGCATATGAAAGACAAAAACGTCTTTTTGAGTGTGGGATCTTTTTTTGTGACGATAAGTGACAGACGTTATGTCATTTAAGGATGACCCCCGAAACCCACAGTTATCCAAGGGATGACTGGTAGTCTAGTAGATATTAAGCATAATGGACCTAGTCAGTGTCTGATGAATTTATCTAAAGAGTAAAAAAAGAGAAGTATCACTAATTTAAATTCACAATGTACTCAAAATATAATATTTAACAATATATTTAAAAAATCCTTCTTCCTCCCCCCCCCCCCCCGCTCCATGTTGACTCGCCCATGGTTTTATGTATTTTAAGTTGTACACAGTACACAGGTGCAACACTTCTACATTGTATATCAAAAGTCAGACTAAACAACACGTCACACATTCGAACCGAATTTCTAGGAAAGCTTTTGGCGCGTTTCCGGTAATGTTATACCGGTATCGATATTTTATTTTTTTTTTTTTTTGAGAAATTTAAGTGAACAGATTATTTTATTTTAAAATCTAGGCTTATACCGAATACATAAAATTCGTTTCTTCTTTGTAAGGGTAAGTGATGCAACTATAAACTATAACTATAAACTATAACTAAGTACTAATAGTAACATTGTTATTATATTGTTAACCATTTTCTAATTTAAGGGTACATTCTCATATAAAAGCCCTATCCAATGGACAGCTATGGCGATGGAGCACTCGTGTTCTTTTAATTTTTTTTCACTTTGAAAGTTTTGAATGGTTTAAAACCACACAATAACATTATTTAAAGCTGTGTTGAATGTATATATATATATATATATATATATATATATATATATATATATATATATATATATATATATATATATATATATATATGAACATGTATAAGGTGTACTACTATAATCGTTAACTAAATCGAATCAGGATCACACAAAATTTCATCTTTATCTATATCTTCATCTATCTTCATCTCAGGGGCGGAACTACAGTGCTGCTAGACCCCGCAATGCGGGGGGGGGGGGGGGTGGCACGCCATTTAGGGGCCCACAGCCGACCATAATTTTTTTATAGTTAAATTTTTAAAAAATTTCTTGCATTTTTGACTTGATGGTTGTTTTGTAAAAAAAGATTACCGGAGCTGCGGTTGGATTACCTTTAATCTATGGACACCACCCCACGCTCTTGTATATTCTTTTTCCCTTTGTTTTTAAACCACTGTTAAAGCCGAGTCCTCTTTCTCCTACAATCAAACTTATCAAAGATAAGCAAACGTTTAAACCCCTTCCACGACTTATTTCCCTTTTTTAAATAGTCAAATAGGGGTGTTCATAAGCTCTTTTTAATTGATTTGTCCTAAACATATTAAAAAGCAATTATTTCTCTGAATTATTATTTTTTTTATAAAGTACTTACGAAAGAATGACATTGTATAAAAAGGAAATGTATTTAAAATTAATAATATAAATAAAAAAACATAAACATAACACGAGACAACATTACTTATACAAAGCTTTCATGGTTTATATTCTTTTGATCGACTGTGGCTAATTAGTCTTATATAGTAGAGATAAAATAAAACTGATTTTCATAATACACACTAATGCACTTACACACATGACATGATGTATATATATATGTATATATATATATATATATATATAAATATATATATATATATGTATATATATATATATATATATATATATATATATATGTATATATATATATATATATATATATGTATATATATATATATATATATATATATATATATATATATATATATATATATATACATATATATATATATATATACATATATATATATATATATATATATATATAGGGAGGGGGGGGGGCTAAAAAAAAATTGTGGGGTGGCACTTTTTTTATAGTTCCGCCACTGCTTCATCTTCATTTTATATTCATCTATCAGCATCGTCATCTTCACTTCCATTTCCATCATCTCCATATCGATGACGATTTTTTTGTTAAATGTTGATGTATAAAATTTAATTAGAATTAGCAAGTTTCCCCCGATTTACGCATACCCATTTTTTCGCACATGGAATATAAAAGATATAAAATCTACATTGAGATCTTGACAAATCTTGATGTTTTTCAACATTTCGCGGCCAGAAAAACTTAGTTTTTAAATCCTGTCTGTGTGTGTGTCAGTCTGCAAACAGGCTAACTTGAGTAACTTTAAAGTTAGGTGAACGAACTTTCAAATATAAGTATTAGATCGTATGCTAAGTGGTACTATATTTCTGTAGGTACTCTATAACGTGTATTATTTTAGTTTTGTAGAAATTTTATATTTAAATATAAGATTCTATACTTGGATTACTCTAAATTTATATATATATATATACTAGCGTGCCTGTCCCCGCGCGTTGCGCGGGAATAGCAGAAATCCCGACAAAAAAAAAATAAGAAGGGTTTAATCTATGCGTTACCAACCCTATATTCTTAGTATCTTAGACGCATGACCTTGTTTTCTAAAAGTGAGTTATTTAAATGTAAACAATGCCTGCGCTTGGATCATAAATATCGGGACACGGGTTTACCTACACTACCGCGTAAAAACCTTGTGTGTACATTAATCATTCACCGAAATAATCAGGTAGAACACACTTCGGTGACCTCTCATGTGTCAGGGACGTAGAAGGGCGCTCTCAGGAGCCCCCCTCCCCGATTACAAACCGCATAGGCGCCACGTACGGCCCCTGGCTCCTTAAAACTAACGGGCGCCATCGTGCAAACAATGATGCAGATTGCGTCATTCGCTAAAGTGACACAAATGAATAGGATTTTTTTCTTTAGCACGTAAAAAATTATTTGACGTGTTTTAAACATCCGTGTGACTGATGTAATATGTTAGCGTTACTAATGATCGATTATTAGATGCTCGATCTCAATTTCTGACTGGATTGTCTAATAATTGATGCTTATTGCATCATTCGCAATTTGACGAAACTCTACAGTAGGCTCCTCATATTCAAAAAGTTTTTTTTTCATCTTTCGCAAGGTGACGAAACTGTACAGAAGTATTTCCTCGCGTTACAAAGTTATTTTTAGAAGCCTGTTGTTGTTTTACCGCTGAATATAGAAGTACCCCTTATTCGCTATGAACTCTTTCCTTAGAGTTTTATAATGAGCTCCCCAAAGTTTCATGCCTATCGGATGAACGGTGTCACTGCAATTCCCTTTTATTATTTTTATATACCGTATATAGAGAAAAATCGGACCCTCCCGTGGCGCCGCCCTTGCGAAATTAAAAATGATTTTTTACAGAACCCTTCCCTAGAGTGGTATAATGAACTCCCCAAAGTCTCATGGCTATCGGATGAACGATGCCAAACCAAAATCGACTTTTATTTTTATATACCGTATATAGAAAAAAACAAATCGCGCCCTGTCGGGGCGCCACCCCTGCGAATTTGAAATATATTTTTTTCGCAGAAACCTCCCCAGGAATATTCTCAACAACTTCCCAAAGTTTCACGGCGATGTGATGAGAGGTGTAGTAATGCATAAAGGACACACACACACACACACACACACACACAAACATACATTGTTTTTTTATATATATATAAATATATATATATATATATATATATATATATATATATATATATATATATATATATATTTATTTATTTATTTATTTATATATATATTTTGTTGTTTACTCGAACTATTTTCGAAGAAAATGGCAACAACCATTCAGACTACAGAAATCTTTGAAGCTTTCATGGAAAGTGAAGAAAAGCACGTAATAGAAAAGATTAATGGAAGAGCGTATGTATTTTTTAATCACTGATTTTGTTAATTAAAAATGTATTTGTATATATTTTAATTTCTAATTTTTTTTTGGCTTGTGTGTTTGTCCTCTGTCGTTTTAATTGTGTTACAGCCACGTAAGAGGTCGACTAGTAAATTTTCTTTACATATGTTCGAATGTAAATTAGGCGACATTCCAAAGGTAGAGTTTTGTGTGTGCGAATGGGAGAAAGCGTAGGTTTCACACTTTGACGTTTTGAATATCAGTTTTTTAAACCGATTCTTAATTACTTTTATTACCATTTTTTAGTTTGTGTGTGTGTGTGTGTGTGTGCGTGTGTTTTAAATAGCAATGAAATTTGATCAATGAACATAGATTTCCATAAATGTACCTACTGCATGTAACATTGATGACATTATCTTCGTAACAGTATTATATTGTGGCTCTCCTTTTAAAGGGATACAACTCTATTAATATTTTGGGCTAAACAAACCAAGTTTGGCTTCATACCTTACAAATGGAAAAACCCTTCAAATAATATTAGTGGAAGAATTAGCAGGCTGTTTGAGTGAGGGGGGGGGGGGGTGAAGGGCGTGAAGTTATTTTTGTAATGATGTGTTACGATGAGAATATGGATAAAACCCAAGTAAAAAGCATGACGTCAATCATTGACAACCCAATGTAAACAATACATATTAAAATTTAAGTAAGAGAAATCGTTTTTTTTTAATAAGATTTCTAATATTAGTCTTTAAAATACATAGAGAACAGTTCATTAGTTTCGATGAACTCATCTGTTTCTGTTAACTTAACACTTTGTAATATCCCTTGGTCGAAGGATCCATTAGAGCTGGCAAGACTCGTGACTGTAATAGTCAATCTTAAACCATACTAACATAATGTGTAGGAAATGCGAATTATAAGCTGAGTGTATGTGTCTTCCAGTCACCTTAAAGTAGTTTTATATGTAATTACTACTCCTACAGTGCAATAACAAGCCCAGAACGTGAAAAGATTGTTGCTGACCTGAAATCAAATCTGACCGACTTTGTGAAGTCCAGAGAACGTATAAAAGAATTGGCAAGAGAGGTAACTCGCTTTCGTAAAATTTAAATTCTTAAAATGTTGTGTGAATTTTAAATTGAAAAGTCGAATTGAAATACATATTTTTCTTTCGTCCTATCTGAAAAGGTAGTTTCATTTTTGTTCTCTTCTTCAATGCATCTCTGTACAGGATATCAACGTTAACAATGGAAATCTTTCATTATTTTTCTTCTTAATTGTAACGCTGGACGAGATTTCCTTCAGCAGAATTAATTATTACGTTTATGCACGATTTAATATTATGTAGTTCACTTCGATTTCAGCCTGATTTTATTTCTGGATTTGCTTCCATAGTCTTTGTCCATCCAAGAACAAACTACAAGGCAGCAGTTGTTTAATTTTGGAGTTGTCTCTCCTAGATAGCAACCATGAGCTTTCACCGACTCGACTACGCCAACCCCTCTCTTCCATTGAAAAGGCTATATACATCTATATGTATTGCAGGGGCGGAACTACAGTGCCGCCAGACCACGCAATACAGGGTGGCCCATGCCATTATAGTTACAAAAATTAATGTTCTTGCATTTTTTACTTATACATAGCTGTTTACTGTAGCTGCATTGGATAATCTGTTCTATAGACACCATCACACGATCTTTTATATTCTTTTTCTCTTTGTTTTTAAATCATTGTGAAAGCCGAGTCCTCTTTCTTCTACAAACACACGCTGTTGTCGGCAAAATTCTTTTGAAAAGAGGTTGCTAGATATTAAGACGACTTTTGCTTCTTTATAGCGTTGGTTATGGGCCCACGATCCATTGTGATTTTACAATGTAAAATGTACTTTTTTGTATAGGTAGAACTACTATTCTGTACTATCCTATATTCTACAAATAATCAACAAAAATACAATAATCATAATTTCGGTTGTATGTACGTTTACTTATTTTTGTTTTGGGGTCACCCATAAATGACGTCACGCTTTTTTTGGACGATTTTTACTTCCCCTCCGTCGAACATCGTCACAAAATAACAAACAGATCTACTACAGTAGTGATTTTATACAGTAGCTAACACATGCTGTTGCGTAAAAAAATATATGCATAAGATGTAGAGTGAAAGTTAGGCAAACGTTCAAAACACTTCCATGACTTATTTCTCTTTTTTAAATAGTTAAATAGGGGGAGCTCATTTAAGCTCCTTTAATATGTTTGTACTAAACAAATTAAAAGCAATTACTTCTCTTGATTATTATTTCTTTAAAATACCTACTAAAGAATGACTTAGCATAAAAGAAATGTATTTAAAATTAATAATAGAAATAATAGAAATACAAAAAAGAAAACATAAAAATAAACATAACACGAGAAACCATTACATATACAAAGCTTTCACGTTTTATATTCTCTTGACCGGCTAGCATATAGGAAGTATTACAGCAAACATAAAATGAAACCGAGATTTTCAAAACAGACTAACGCAAGGGTCGGCAACCTTTTGATACGCAAGAGCCAAAAGTTACAATTTATAAACTTTCCGAGTTTATAAAGAGCCACAACATTTTTAGTTCAATATTCGGTATTTGGATTAGGTAAATAAAGTTGATTTGTTATTACTCGTGACCTTGTTTTCTAACTGTGAGTTATTTAAATGTAAACAATGCCTGCGCTTGAATCATAAATATCGGGACACGGGTTTTCCTACACTACCGCTAGAAAACCTTGAGTGTACATTAATCACTCACCAAAATAATGAGGTAGAACACACTTCGGTGACAACTTATGTGTCAGGGACGTAGAGGGGCGCTCTCAGGAGCCTCCCCCCCCCCACCCCGATTACACTACCGCATAGGCGCAGCTTACGGCCCCTGGCTCCTTAAAACTAACAGGCGCCATCGTGCTCATAGCATAATCCAGCGTGCTAAATAGCATCCTGTAAACAGTGATGCAGATTTCGTCATTCGCTAAAGTGATACAAATGAACATGATTTTTTTCTTTAATACGTAACACAATTATTTGACGTGTTTTAAACATCCGTGTGACTGATGCAATATGCTAGCGTTACTAATGGTCTATTATTAGATGCTCGATCTCAATTTCTGACTGGATCGTCTAATAATATATGCTTATTGCATCACTCGCAGTAGGCTCCTCATATTCAAAAAGTTATTTTTTCATCTTTCGCAAGGTGACGAAACTGTACAAAAGGATTTCCTTGCGTTACAAAGTTATTTTTAGAAGCCTGTTGTAGTTTTACCGCTGAATATAGTAGTACCCTTTCTCGCTATGCAGGACGCTCGATTAACGGATGCCAAGTGCCAACATAGTCGCTCTAAAACTTTGGACGCCAAACCGTGTATTGATGAAAATTGTACCCTACATGGCGCCGCCCATTAGAAACTTTAGTTTTCTATTTCGCAGAAATATTCTCGGAAGTATTCTTATCTACTCCTTAAAGTTTCATGGTTTTATTTTTTATATACCGTGTATAGAGAAAAAAATAGAGAAAAATGAATGAATGAATGAATGAATGAATGAATGAATGAATGAATGAATGAATGAATGAATGAATGAATGAATGAATGAATGAATGAATGAATGAATGAATGAATGAATGAATGAATGAATGAATGAATGAATGAATGAATGAATGAATGAATGAATGAATGAATGAATGAATGAATGAATGAATGAATGAATGAATGAATGAATGAATGAATGAATGAATGAATGAATGAATGAATGAATGAATGAATGAATGAATGAATGAATGAATGAATGAATGAATGAATGAATGAATGAATGAATGAATGAATGAATGAATGAATGAATGAATGAATGAATGAATGAATGAATGAATGAATGAATGAATGAATGAATGAATGAATGAATGAATGAATGAATGAATGAATGAATGAATGAATGAATAAATAAATAAATAAATAAAAATTATATATATGTACAAACAATTATAATTTTCAAAAGAAACTCAATAGTTTGTACCTGTATTTAAATAAACCTGGAGTGATCTCCCCTAAACTTTCTCGAATAATCTTATATAAAACAACAGGGGATGGGAACTCGGGCTATAGACATGATTTTTAATCCAGTTTAAATACTTAAAGTTTTAAAAATAGAATAAAATCTCGTAGACAAATTAATTGCACACCAAGTAAACGCCAAATAAAAAAGTGCATAATAGTGCGCAATATTATTAGTACTTTAAAAATTTACATTAGTTTTTTGAGAAATCGGAAGTAGCGTAAATTAGTACTTCCGGTCAACCGAAATTATTCAAAATTTAACATAAGGTAGAGAATTAGATCTTTTATTTACATGTGAAATTTCATTTATATATCTGAAATAGTACTCAAGTTATAGGCTTTTGAAAAATTCAAAGTAGGAAAAGTACCACTTCCGGTTATCGGAAATCGCTCAAAAGTTGATACGGATCTAAGATTTTGATAAAATACTAATATATGAAATTTCATCAACCTAGCTGTAACGGTACTCAAGTTATCATGTTTACACACGGACAGACAGACAGACACACAGACATACGGACAGAATTGCAAAGCCCAGTTTTTCAGACTGGATTACGCATAAAACCTCTTAATTTTGATAAATCTGGATTGATAATTTTTGCCCGATTAAAATAAGTCCTCTATACTTCGGATGTGATGAAAGACTGAGGTGTAATACGGTGAAAATTGTTAAAATTTCAAGTGATTTTTGTGCACGATTACAATACTTTCTCTATACTTCGTATATACGAGAAAGTAAAAATGGATTTTTGTTTTACAGAACCCTTCCTTGAATTGTTATAATCACTCCCTTAATTTTGATGGCGATCAGATAAATGGTGTTAAACCAAAATCGACTTTCATTTTTATATACGTATATTGAGAAAAAAATTCATAAAAAACGTTTTAATAACAAGCTTTTATGTAATGATGCACTAAAAAGTAGAAAATAAATTATAGACTACTATTTAAATAACTATAAAGAAAAGCGTGGGTCACTTTAGTATCTATTGGATACCTTTACTAATGTTAAGGAAGACACCCACGCTTTTCTGTATAGTTATTTAAATAGTAGTCTATAATTTATTTTCTACTTTTTAGTGCATCATTACATAAAAGCTTGTTATTAAAACGTTTTTTATGAATTTTTTTTTCAGTACTTTACATGTTTTTTATTTACAATAGAGTTACATGACTAAAAACCATTGCGCGCCTACTGAACATCACGTTCAGTAGGCGCGCAATGGTTTTTGAACGCAGCCATTACGTGATGGCGCAGCTATTGAAGGTGATGACGCGTGTGGTGTGGTTGGCTAGACATGCCTACTAATTCGGTCCAAATTTTAATTAATTAATAAAAAATTAATTAGGCATCCAATTAAGTCAAATTTAGTTTCAGATTGCATTGTCTTCATGTCTTGACCCACGTGCCAACTGTGAATCGTATCGGTCAAGTAGAACTGTCCGAATTTTCACTCCTGCGTTTCTATCTAGACTGACGACTGACGACTGACGACAGAGGAAGTGAGTTAAATAAAAGCTTGTAAAAATCCCACCATTCCGTGGCGCCGCCCTTGCGAAATTTAAATATATTTTTTACAGAAACCTTCCCTGGAGTGTTCTAATCACCTCCACAAAGTTTGATGGCGACCGGATGAACGCCGTGAAACCGCAATCGACGTTTAGTTTTATATACCGTATATAGAGAAAATCGCACCTTCCTGTGGCGCAGCCCTTGCAAATTTTTTTTTACAGAACCCTTCCCTGAATTGCTCTAAAAAACTCCTCAAAGTTTGACAGCGATTGGATGAACAGTGTAAATCTGCAATCGACTATTATTTTTTATATACCGTATATAGAGATAAAACAAATCGTGCCCTACTGGAGCGCCACCCCTGCGAATTTTAAAATGTATTTTAAGCAGAAACCTCCCCATGAATATTCTTAACATCTTCCCAAAGTTTCATTGCGATCGTGTGTACGATGTCACTGCAATTCACTTTTATTTTAATTTTAAATACC